GGGGTATGGGGGGGGGGGGGGAGACTTGGGGGGGGGGGGGGGGGGGGACACACACACTACTTAAAGGTGCAGGGGTTGAGTGCCATAATACTGTGTATGACATTTAGACTGAATATGTCCAACGTTTGAAAAGCATTTCCTCTGTTGGTATGACATTGACATGTACTATTATGACATGTCCACTGTTGGTATGACATTGACATTTACCATTATGACATGTCCACTTTGTGAATGACAACTGACATTCCAATTCCACTGTACGTGTTTTGTAGCCGGGAAAACTTAGTACCGTTAGTCTTAGACCGGTAGAAAAAAAAACTTAGATAAAATTTTACACATTTTTTTTTTTTAAAGCCCGCCCTACTGCAAGGCATCCTCCATCAGCACAGATGTAGATATCTGGGTAAAATAGGTTGCCCAAGCCCAGCTCTGGGGGGGTGCATGCCGCCTGGTCTGTCTCCAGCCTGCTTTGGTTCCACGCTCACATGTGTAAATAGCAGGTGTGCTAACAAAAACAAATGTGACCCGGAGATCACCAGGAGATCTAGTGGACGGGCTGGGTATATGCCTCGGGCCTAGATGAAAAGTTAATTAAATTCGTGTGGTTTGCTTCAACAAATGGCGAAGAGAGGCAGCCATTATTTTTTTTATTTTTTTTTTTAAAATAAATAAAGCCAAAGAAAAAACTATAATGACGTCATTTGTTAGACGGACATTTAATTAAAAACACGCTTGCTAAATATATTTTTTTTTACTTCGCTCACAAAATTTCAGAGCCATGACGGTATTATCCTCAAACATGCATAGGAGCCAAAATGATCAATAAATTGATCGTGGGCCCTTAAGATATATAAGAAGAAGAAGAACCACGGATAGATGACATGGAAAAAAGAACCGATTGACTCATTGATGGATAAATTACATACATTTCGCCATACAATAATGGATATATATATGACAGGGTATACCATTTGACAAATATGACGTAGCCACATAGATATGTAACCATGGCTACAAACATATAGTATATATATATATAAATATATATATATATATAAATATATATATATATATATACATATATAAAGAGAGAGAGAGAGAGAGATGAATATCCCCGTGGACACACCCCAGAAACACATAATTTCACCACTGAAGTGCCGTAAAACCCATCACATTTTTTACCAAATTATCACATTAATGACTGAACCATCACATTTTTTACCAAATCATCACATTACTGACTGAAACATTACATTTTTTACCAAATCATCACATTACTGACTGAAACATTACATTTTTTACCAAATCATCACATTACTGACTGAAACATCACATTTTTTACCAAATCATCACATTTTAGCCACGAAACCATCACATCTCTGACCAAACCATAACATCTCTGACTAGCACAAGACCAGCAGACATGGGCACAACACAAGGCTAACAAACTCACTTGGGCTGATCACAAAAAGCCTGGACAAAAATGTTCTGACGGAGAGACATAAAGATATTATATGACGCAAGAACATTCAGAAGTACCTTGGCGCAGAGACAATCGTATATTCCAGCAAGCAGGCGGTGAAATATAACTAGCCCATGACGCTGAGATACTAATGACGCCGAGACACTCGTATATTCTATGACGCACAGACACTCAGATATCCTATGGCGCAGATATATACAGTGTAAATGGGATATCGGTGGAGGGCGTGATACTTAGTGGACGGGGGGGGGGGACACACACACTACTTAAAGGTGCAGGGGTGGAGTGCCATAATACTGTGTATGACATTTAGACTGAATATGTCCAACGTTTGAAAATCATTTCCTCTGTTGGTATGACATTGACATGTACTATTATGACATGTCCACTGTTGGTATGACATTGACATTTACCATTATGACATGTCCACTTTGTGAATGACAACTGACATTCCAATTCCACTGTACGTGTTTTGTAGCCGGGAAAACTTAGTACCGTTAGTCTTAGACCGGTAGAAAAAAAAACTTAGATAAAATTTTACACATTTTTTTTTTT